ACAAGTCCATAGTGCAGTTCCTCACAGTACTGCGAGGCAAATAAGGTAACTGCTCCCCAGGAGCTTGCTTAAATGCACCCTTTTTGCTTCCGTGAAAGAGGTGTAACTTGCTAGGGATTTAACATAGGGCAAGGCTAGGGATGCATTAGCTACCAGGGAGTATCTAGCACACTGTATAGCCACCTTCTAGACTTCCCCTATTTTTTATGTAGCTGTGCCCTTTCAGATACATTCTGTTTTCATTTGTGTAATGCTGCACCAAGGCTCCTGTTGCAAAGTGTTAGAGAAGACTGCTTTATAGAGTTTTGTCATTTTACATGCGTGTCCCCATGCAGTGTGTCATTACGATATTCCACTATTTCTTGGAAGACAGGACCTATTGGGGAATTGATTCATCAATGCATGTTAAAATGTGCTTTAAAATAAGTGTTTGATTCAATGATTCGCAGAGTGAATCTGTTACTTGTGGCCCTAGGAACACTAGGATTTTGTCTCCCAACAATATACCCCATAAAATGTTGTCTAGTGCAGCATAAATGGTCAAAGTGTGGCATTTTTGCCTCACCTAGACTTTATTTTGTTCAGCCTAGTTCCCACTCTCTTTCTCAATTATTGAGTTACTGAATCTTAATCCAACTTATTTCTAATCGTATCTCATAATCCTAGACTAGAAGTGATCTTTCTTACCTTGCTGTACAACCATTTCTGTCTTTCATTTATTATTGATGCTTATTTTAATTAGAGAATATTTATTTTTTTTCTTTCCTATTATATTTTTATAACTTTCAGTGTGTATCACATTTTTCATAATTAAACTGTTGGGATAGTTGACTTAAAAAGACACGTACTGTACAATTTGTTTTACACTAAATTGATTTTAATGCTGCAATTAAACCCTAATCATAGAAAATATTCATGCATTTTGTGCCTTTGTTCTCCACAGCCCCGACAGAAGCTCCCTTACATCCTCACCTAGGTAGGTGATTTGTCATTCTTATTACTAAAACTCAGAATCACTAACTTTATTATAATAAACAATCTGTAAGGTCATATGAAACTAGCTCTAGGGAATTCAAATAAAAATGAGACTCATATAAAATGAATTGAATTATGTCTAATTCTGATTAGTTGTTTTTTCATTGTGATTTTTATTGCTGTTTATTTATTGCCTTTGAGCCCTTGCAGTGCAATTATATCGTGCTGCAGAGCTTTTCTTCCCAGCTATGCATTAGAGCATCTGTTTGCAGGAGGACCCGTAACCCCCAGTGTGGGATAGCACCGTCACACCGGTGCTGGGTCACTGGGAGGAAGGTTTTGTCCCAGTGCACCTCTGAGGTGCACCCAGGAGCAGGGCACCGCTTCTGTTCTCCAAGCAGGCCACAGAGCATGCAGCAGAGCTCCAGCCCTGCACCCGTTAACCTCCGTGGTGCAAGTTGGTTAGTCAAGGATGGATTCTGGCATCCTTGCACAGTTTGAATAGCAAGTGACAGTCGCTTCATTTGTTTAATGAAAGCATTTGTAGAGAAACAGAGAAAAATCTGTTTAATACAAATGCAGCAGCCAAAGTTTTGGGATATTGGTTTTTTTGGTTCATCATACATAAATGATACACCAAATCTAGAGGGAAAGATGGAGTCCAAAGCTTGAAGACCAATGGTTTAGAAACATTTGTCTAACAGAATTCATGGTTAATATTCCTTACATGAGTTGACCTTTGCTGCCAGCTTCACTGATAGCAGCAGAGAAATTTCAATGAGCTGATGGATTTTTGCTTAAGAGTTGTCAGAATGAATCCCCTGACTATTAGAAGTGTAGTACACTCACTAAGACATCTCATCCCTCCTTATGCCAGTTTCCAAAGTCTGGATTTGGAGGAATTTTTTTCTGAACATTCAGAACAACCAACAATTTGCAACAAAAATTCTTAAAGCTTTTAGTATAGAATCATTTTGGTTGGTGTGGTGGTTCGACCCACAGTGTGACCATGCGGTCCTGCACTCACTTACTGCCCTAACCTGGTGAGATGGGATGGGAGACACAACCACAGGATTAGGAATGAAGGACAGGGATGGCTCACTCACCAGTTATGGTCAAAACAGACTCAATTTGGGGAAGAAAAATCAATTTTCTTCAGTACTATGAACCAGAGTAAGCAAAAAAACCTGTAACTGAGAAAACCCGGCTTTTGTAACTACCATACTTTAAAAAGCTGATTTCCTCATTTTACAATGCATTACTTTAGCTCTAGGTACAACAACACTTAGAAAGCATTGGATCATTACACTGGAGTTTTTTTCATATAGTGCTTTCTCTTCTCTGTAGCCGAAATCCATAGTGACAGCATTATCCTACGAGATGATTTTGACTCTTACCATCAGGAAGAACTGAGTCCTACCATGTGGTGAGTTTCAGACTTCTGCTTTTCTTTGTATGTGTTTGACCAAATTAAAACATTTTGTTTATTATAGTGAAGTATTTGTATTATATTAATTATGCGATACCTCAGCTCACACTGGTGTAAGCTCGTGTGTGTCTGCTCCATTGGGACCTAAATTTATTAGTTTATTAAATAATTGATTAATGAGTGACTGAGAAATTCTAAGCTCATTGAAGAGAGTCAGTTCTCATTGAATTCAAGTTTTAAATTAATCTAAAATAGAAAGAAGGAGTAGAGCTGAGCTCAGTGAATGTTTTTGTATGAAGAATTTGATTTCTTGAAATCATCATCATTGCATGGAAAAGCAATGAATTTCAATATTTCAACTTTTTATTTTCAATTTTTTTTCAATTTTTTTTTCATGTTTACATAGTACATATTCCTGGTGAGGCTAACCAGGAAGGAAAAATTCCTTCTAAACTGTAATCAAATGTTTCCAAATCATTCAAAAGAAAAAATTAACTGTAATTAAACACCTCCATCTAATTTTCAGCTGCCATAAATATTTAAGGTTGATTTTTTTTCTTTTTTATGGAGGAGAAACTTTTTCAAAACTTTTGTATTGTGTAGGAAGGAAAACCCTTCCCAGCTCTATATAGCAACTCCCAATTGCTAGGGGGTTTTTTTGTTCAATGGAATTCTTGAGTAGGGTCGTTCATATTATCACAGTGGTCTGAAACAGCCAGCAGAGGTTGTTATCATTCTTTAACCAGTAGACAGTGTTGGAGAATCTCATGACTCCATGTGCATAGTAAGGCAAGTACAATGTAGGTCAGGCAGAAGCTTTATTAACTGTGATTGTGGTGTGAGAGCACTTGGACATAATCTCCCCCTCCGCTCCCCATTCTTTGCTAAACGATTGCAGAGACCCAACCCATACACTGTTTCAGAAGACAAGGAAAGAGGTGAGGAAAAACAATCATTTCGATGTTAGTAAAGCCAAGTATCCATCCCCAGGAGGGATGAACTCCTTAAGTCGCTGCTACACTTCTAAAGACTCCAACAGTAAATAATAGGACAATATGGAGAAATGACTGTTGGTGAAACCTATAGGAGAGGAACACCCAATATTATCTTTGCTCAGAAGTGGGGTGTTGGAAACAATTGCAGTCTGTTACCTCTTAGCCAAAGGAATGTTATTTTAGCAAAGATAACCCTTAGCCAAACCTCTCAGTCTGAAAGAATAATTTTTCATATGATATATGTATGTCACAAAAGAGGAAGTTCTAAGTCTTTTATAGTACAAAACCAGTTCTGTTCTATATAGTGAATATAATGGTCATGCTATATCCGGATAAACACATCTATTGGTCTTAACACAAAGCCTTGAAGGTTGGAGTTCCCTTTATTTATATAGGATTGTTACTCAGTTTTCTATTCTTTACAATCCTGTTTCATAACTATAACTAATATTTATTGATTTAATTCATTATAAGACACAGAAATATTTTAATGTCTTAGCTTGTCTTGTGCAGATAAATTGTTGATGGGCATTGTAGCAGTTACCTGCATTTGTTAGTTAGGAATACATATGTTCTGTGAAATCTGATTTAATTTTCCTTTTTATTAAGGCCTGTCATTTTCCATCTGTGCAGGTCTTTCACAGTTTCACCATCTTATGTAAAAACACTGTGGTTTATGGAATTTTATGGATATTTTTTCTTTTGTATGTACTTACTGTAATACTTATTAGTATGTGTCTAATATTTTTCCTCCTTTTGTTCCTTTTGTATGATTTCTTTAAATGTTTTTCTGGGCAGATGCATTAAGGACCTTGGATACTATAATATAAAAAAAGAACCCAACCCTCTTTCTTTATGGGAATGAATAGATCAAGGACTCTTAATGGGTTACAGAATAGCTGCCAAGGTAGATAGCTTTAGCAGCAGTGTGTTAAATGGACTTGAGTGGAAAGAAATGAGAGGAGGCATTATTTCCCTGCAGATGTCTCATAACTCACAGAGGGTCTGTCTGTTGGGAGCCTCCGTAATTTATTTATCCATTGCTCTCTTATCTGTAAATTCACCCTTGCTTTATAGAAGTCTCAACAGAGAAATTTCAGACTAAAAGAGCCCTCAGTCTCCTGCTTCTTTTGTCCCTGAGATTTGGATTTGATCCCCCTGGAGTAACCTTGACTCACCTTGGTTGGTGGGTCAGTGCAGGGTGGTGCGTACTGGGAGAGAGATCTACAAAACTCACTGCAATCCTGAAACATATTTTCCTGTAATAACACCAGAAAGCAATGCTAAATAAAAGTGGAGCATGAGCAAAAGAAAACTGTAATGAGGTGTCATGAGCCTTTCTGCATAAAGGATTTCTACTGTAGCTCTGCCTCCAGTGAAGACCAGCTTGGTGGCAGAAAGCTCATTCTCATTTGATTGTCTAGTGGGAGTTAAATCAGGGATTATTAACAGTTTATGCCATCCACCCTAAAATTGCATTTTTCTCCCCTGGCAGCTGCTAAAATCCCATCTTTACCACAAACAATTGTGGTAACTGCTGGAGCAGTATTTCCAGCTCTGCTCTGTCCCCGTTCTGCTGTGCTCTGTGTGTGTGGTGGCAGCTGCCTTGTGTGCACCGACACTCCAGCAGTGCCATGTCACCAGGGGCCAGTTAGACTAAGCCACTCTAATAATTTCTGAAACCATTATTTGTGTGAAGATGAAAAGAGAAGTGTTTGTATTTTCCTATGATCTTTTCTTCCCAAATCCTACAGAACACTGGCTTGGACATGAATAATATTGTCCCACTCCTCCTGATCCCCTTTCTGGCATGTCCAAGTGCACACGCAAAGCATTTTATAGCTTCTGTGTGTGTCTAATTTTATGAGTCCCATCAGAGCTGGTGTTACTCCATTGCTGGGAGCGGCCTCACGTCAAATAACTACTTTGCACAAGGGCACTGTATGATTTCAGGAGTGACTGCTTGTTTTTTATGGATTTCTGCTCTTTCAAATTCATTAAAAGGCACATCCCCACCCAGCAACCATCTGTTTATTTGAAGGCTCAGGAGTGGCTTTGAGTATTTATGGAGCTGCAAAGGGAGGAGAAAAGGAAGGTTGGGATGGGAATCTTCAGAAACAGAAAAATCACAGCATCAGGGAATGGGTTTCTGAACTAAATCACAGTTTGGTGATTGAGAGAAAACAGGAGAAACTGATGACGGAGAAAAGGACAAGGCGAGGAGGAGGCAGCAGGAAAGAGCACAGCAGGAGATGGAAGCAGGGGGGATTTCTGTGCTGGGAATGCAGCAATGGGAGCTTGTTTCTTTTTCTTGGGACTTAACCACCATGAGGATTTTCTTATACAGTATGTCCAAACATTTTTTATGTTTTTTCCTTCCAACAGGCTATCATATCAGAACACAATTATTTCCAAAGTCCCCAACCAATAGGCAGAAGCCTGTTTATGCAAGCAAAGATTTCCTAATTTCTTGGGTCTCATTTGCCACCAACTTTACAAAGATCTCTTTTACTTGTGAAACACAAGTAAAAAGAGATCACACATTTCTAAATGTCCCGTGTATTTTATGTCTGGCGTGTATTAGCCGTGGAAGTTAAGGTAGGTAAGTACAGGTGATTGGTGATCCACGAGACTTGCTGAAAACTGGCAGGAGTGTGTTAGTTCAGAAAGCCCAGGAACCATGGAAGTAATTGATTTCCTGTGTAGGGAAAAAATGTACTACTTGCCAGGGAAAGGCCAGGAAGTGACTGGATGAGAAGAGGTCCAATATGGGTGGTGTCTGAAAGACTGTCTAGGTCATTGAGTACCTGTTTCTGTGATCATTTTGCTTCCATGTAACCTCATAAAATTGCAGAGGAGAATGTAGGAAAGGTGCTATATAACAACTAAACTAGGACATGCAAGAATAAATCTAGAAAAAATATTATCTTTAATCCTAGGATAAATTATTTAATGTTGAGACAAAAAGAGGGGAAAAAGAAGCTGCATAAAGTAAAGAAGAGGTGGTGGCATTAATGTATGTTTCTGTATAAAACAGTTTTAACAGTAGGGTTATAGACAACAGGACATTTAAAAAGAAAGACTCAGTACAGAACCTTGTTGCTGGCTATAAACTCCCTTTCCCAACTTGATGCAATGTTTCATCTCAAAGCCTATCAGCATTCCAAACAGCAGTCACTTACAGAAGACATACTCTTCAAAGATGACATGAAGAAAAGCTGAGCATTTAAAATTGATCAATAACAAAGAAGTTCCATCACTTCTTCATGTCACATGAGAAATGAAGAGGTACAGTGATATTTTCAGTGGCAAAGAGGTGGAGGAAAGCTTTGTGACAGGAGGGAGAATTCCTAAAGCGGTTTCCAAATTGCACTAAAACTGTGGGATTAAACTTCAGAAAGATTTATGTTTAAAAATCTCTTGCCAGCTTGAGGTGTTTATCTTCTTTATAGTCCAGACATCACAAAAGACATCAGTCAATGTAACGTCCACAAACTCAGGTATTGTAGAGGGAAAAAAGATGACAAATAGAGATGAGGAAACAGCAGATGTTTCCCCTTCAGCAAAGTGAGGAACAATAGCAGAGAGAGGTGGGACTCTCTAAGCCAGAGATGAGAGCAATGTCAGGTCTACAGAGAAGACATCTAGATGAATATGACACATGTCAACAGTGGCAGCAAGTACCAGCTGTGAAGAGAAAGCTGAAATGATTTTAACGTGCTAAGATTTTAGACAAGGCAGGTGAGAAAGATAATGTGAAAAGCTGCACCCAGCCAGGACAATTAATACTGTCTCCTGTTTGTATAAATGGAAAAGAAATTAACCTTCCTGTCTGCACCAGGAGAACAGCAAATTGGATAGTTTCTAAACATGTAATACGATGACGATGATCTAAGGAACAGCAGATCAATTATCTTACTCTTCATGCATTCCTGTCAAGCTACTGAGCAATTTATTGTCAGAGGTAATACATTTCAAAGAGAGCACAAAGGTTTCAATCAGGATTACCAACAGCCATCCAATTTCTTATGAGACGAGTCATCCTAGAAAGATGAGTGATGATGAAACAGCCCTATTAGAAGGATGATGTTTCTGGATTTCCAGACCACATTACAGAAGTAGAATCACAGGTGAATCACTTTGTATTCATTGAAATACGAGAATTACAAAATTAAAATATCCCTTGGATTATGTAGTCTGACCTTTTATGAGGCACTAAATGTTCCCTACGTAGTATTCATAGACAAAGTTTTCCTGCCATTATCTGCCTCTCCCCGTACATATGAGGAATTCAGGAAGATACTCCACTATAAAACCCCAAAACATGGGGGCAGGTAATGAAAATAATGCTCATAAACAGCCAGAATCCTACAGAATTCCAGTTGTTCTTCTAGTTCCTGTTCCTGTGTTCTTCAGCTATCAGAGTTTAGGGATCGAGTGAAATTTAGGTAGCGACAAACACTTCCTCCATGAACTCTTTCTGTACTTAAGGTACATTTTGGTTCACTTACACACTCTCTTCCTGCCTTATATTGAGAAATAAAATTATGGGATAACTGTGGCTTGTATAAGTAAATATTAATTGAAGCTGATAGGAACTACACTACTTTATTAGACGATTTAATTTTGATATTTAAAGTCAAAATACTGAATGCTATCAGTGTGAATTGCTGAATGATTTTATTGACATGTTCATACATGAAAAAACTTCAAGGATTTTTTCATCTGACTTTGTTTTGGAAAGTTGAGCTGAAACTTACCTTTAATAAAATCTCAGAATAAAAGAGAGATTTGGAAAGGGGGAAAGAGGCATTCATCTTTGACTTCTGTAATGGACTTGGGCATAAGAAAGCCAATCCTGTGCTGAATTCATCCAGGACCAACTGAAGAGGCTTAAAATAACAAATGCAATCAATTATTCACCACATCTACGCATCTGAAAACCTAACATCTATCACTCAGCACAGCTTAGCACTCCCAGACCTGCAGGGTATTGTGCAGGGTATTGTACGCTGCCCAGAGTTAACCCATTCTGTCAAAAATCACCTACACTTTGCTGCCCTGGGAAGGTCTCCTGGGAGCCAGGGGAGGAGGGTGTGGAGCCCTAGTCTGCTGTTGGAGCAGAGCAGGAGATATCTCCACTTAGTTTAACAAGTACTTTAAAAACTAATTTAAACATTATTTCTAATCACTACCTGGGTTCGCAGCAGCCCATCCTCCCTTGCTCAGACATTTGGACGCGTAGTACCTTCAGGGAAAAGCTGCCCCAGCCCATGGGATAGCTGACAACACTGCCAGCCTCTTCCTAGCAATGCAGCTGGAGATTGCATTTGCCCCGTCCAGGACCATGGTGTGCTGTTGGTTTTCAGATACTCAGGAACAGAAAAAACCTACTCCAAACAGTTTACAGAAAGACTTGCAGAAGCTTAACAAAACACTTGTTAAGGAAAAGACAAACAAGCAATATAAATTAGGAAAAGAGGTGAAAAAAAACCTGTGTAAAATCAGCTATGATAATTGAAAGCTCTATTGTATCTGTTGACAGCAAGTCCCTATCTCTTTGGGATTTCTTCCTTTCCATCCAATTTCCTGTAAGATCTACCATTCAGAAATTAGCTGGAGAATGAAAAGCCAGAAGAAAACCAAATCTTTGCAAAGTACTAAACTACATCTGGGCTGTATATATAGGAATGTGTATTTTGACATCAGAAAGGGTGACCAAGTCTGAGGCACCCTTGTGAGAGAAGCCAGAGAAAAAACTGCCTAAACACCCCTTACCTGAATCCATTACACTTAAAACTCTAAAAATATCCATTATCAAAGTACAGATAAAAATTAATAAGAAATAAGATTTGGAGTGAGTTCGTCCTTGCGTACAATGGAGGTGCTCTGGGAGCAAATGTGAGCCTGTAGGCTCAGTTAAAGCTGAGCTTTGGATGCCTGAAGGCAATGCTGGTCAGCACTGGCTGAAAAATCTCTCTGAGATTTTTTGAAAATTCGCTGCTCATGCCAAGAGCTGATACCTTGATCCTGGAAGGTGAGGGAGAAGGCCTTTTCCTTCTGCTCCACAGCCAGACTGCCTGCAAAGTCCTTCATATTAAATTAAGAAATATGAGGAGAGGTGCAATTACTTGGCTCAGCAGCACTTAGCAGCCTCTCTGAGATTTTCTTCATACTTTTTCCCCTGAAAGGTGAACAGGGTGGCAACTCTGTGTTACCGGGAATACGGGGTATGACAAATACAAAGAGAAAGCAGCAGCAAGAACTGTGTTACAGCAGCAGGGCTGTAGGAGCCTCTTGGTGCCATGTTTTGGGTAGCATCTGCAGCCTTGAGTCTGCCCTTTGGGGTAAATAACCCTGCGGGCTGGTGGGGTCTGATCCTACCCCCTTCTCCTGAGCTGTTCTGGACGGTAACTCTGTGGCAGTGGGTTTACATATGGTATATTGAATGTGCAGTAAGGACTTTGGAAGAGGGATAACTTCAGGCTAAATTATATATGTAAGAATTCAACTTGGTTTCCCATGATGTGATGTTTTGCAGTCAATGAGCAGGGACACTCCTTTTTGGAGGGAGGACAGTGTGCAGAGAGGAAGTACTCATTCACAAGGGCCTTTCTTGAGTTCTAATACATCATACGTTCAGTTGCTCAACCTTTATGTTCAGCACTATGATAACAGAACAGTTCAATTTCTCTGAGTGTCAAGCTATAACGGTCTTATTTTACAGTTTACAAGCCTGATGTGGTCTCAAATGTATGGTTTTTTTATTTCCATTTTGAACATGGTGTGTTCTTCCTGCAGGTCTGAATGTAGTAACTGCGAGGTTGGAGAGCAGTGCGGTGCAATCATGCACGGCAACGCCGTCACTTTCTGCGAGCCATATGGTCCCAGAGAGCTGGTAAGTGAAGGCTGGCTCATCTGCCGGGGATGGGACTGCGCGCTGTGAGTCGAGGCTGCCTTGGCTGCAGAGATGTTGGTGTGCTTTGAAAGTCTGGTGTTTGTCAGAGAGGCTCTGAAGGAAGGTTGTCGACAGGACCATAGAAAAGCACCCCAGGAACATCCCGGTGTTTTAAACTATAGATGTTAACCAAAGGTTATTGCAATAGTTTGCAAGAGAAAGTCTCTTGATCCACGGTGCATCCAGGCTATTTAAAGTATTTATAAAAGACTGAAAAGACAAGGAAATAGAACTGTGTTGTCAAACTGGCATCATTCTCTTTTTATTTCTGACAATGAAATAGAGACAAGGTTTATTTTTCTTCTTTTATTAGCTGTGTCATGATTTTTTCTTGTTGCTGTTGACAAATGTTAATTCGGTTGTAAAACATCACTTGTGAACAATGCGTCCTACAGACTTAAATGCAGCCTGGAGCAAGCACCTGCCAACGTCAGGGAAGTGTTTGTAACAAATTGAGTCATGATGAAGGTGACAGTGTGAATTTCATTGGGGGGTAGTTCAGTCATAAAATTGCTGTAAGAAACAACACGGTGCAATTTGCATTAACTTGGGATCATCTGGGTGTGGAAAATGAATTGAAAGCTATATAACCATGCGCACATGCTGACACTGGGCAGCTAGCTGCAGCACTATACATAAAATGGAAGTTTTGGAAAGAACTGCAAAATTAAAAGACCGGCTGAAAGCCTACATAATTCAAAATTAATTTTCATGTTTTCAACAGTTTTCTAAGTGGAGGGAGAGGCTGATTAGAGCTATTTGAAGAGCACACATGGAAGAGGGCCATGAAACACAAGTGGTTTTGGCCAGGCATTTTCTCTTCATTTCAGACACTGACAATTCTTTTAATAGGGTTAATTTTGCATCTCCTTAACTGAGACTAGAATTCCACAAATGCGATGTAGATATTGCTGGTGTGGTGACTGAAAGTCATAAACACGTATAAAACTAATCCAGCGGTTTTACAAATAAAGTAGAATTTCAGTCATCTCCCTCACAGCCAGCTCCAGCTGGGGAGTCCTGACAGGGATGCTCAATTGCCTCTCTGCTATTTTGAATCCTATTTGAATGTACTATGCTTCATTAACTGCCTTGAGAAGAGATGCATTGTTTTATATCCTGTGCAAAAATGAAGTCAGACCACTGGGATGTTTTTCCCAATTTTTAAACTCATTTCTAGTTGCAGTATTGAGCATAGGTAACACTGAAAAACAATCTATTGATGACATTTAGCAAACCCAGGGTCCCAGCTATGAGGGTTTTGAAATGTCATTAATTAGCTGTCTC